TTGAATATGGCCAAGAACGACATCTCGATGCCGAACTGCCATCTCCCGAGACTGGGCCAAAATAAGCCAGTCGTCGAGATAATTCAATACGCGAATCCCCTGAAGTCTCAGTGGAGCAATGGCCACGTCCATACACTTGGTAAATGTGCGGGGAGAGAGTGCTAGGCCGAACGGAAGAACCCGATATTGGTATGCTTCGCCCCCGAAAGCGAACCTCAGGTACCTCCTGTGACAAGGAAGGATGGAGATGTGAAAATAGGCGTCTTTCAGATCTATCGTGACAAACCAGTCCTCGGATCTGATTTGACTCACGATTGTTGGAATGGTCAACATTCTGAATTTGAACTTTCTCAGAGACCGGTTCAACACCCTGAGATCCAAAATTGGCCTTAACCCCCCATCCTTCTTTGGAACTATAAAGTACCGGCTGTAAAACCCGGACTCCCTGTCTACCGGAAGAACACGTTCTATGGCTCCTTTCGACAGCAGAGTCTGTACTTCTTGTTCCAGCACCTGAGCCTGCTCTGGGACCACCGCAGTGAGCACCACCCCAGAGAACTTGGGGGGGCGGTGCGCGAACTGCAGTCTGTACCCAACTCGTATTATCTGCAGGACCCATGGAGATATGTTGGGAAGATGATACCATCCCTCTACAAAATCTGCTAAGGGTACCAGCCTCTCGAGGCTGGCCTCTGGTGTCTTTTCGCTGGAAATTGATGCGGCCCGAAGCGCTGTTAACGGCGGACCTGCATCTTTTCCTAGAGGGCCCCGTTGTGAGAACAACCTCGGTTGTCTCACTGCGGAGGGGGCAGCCCTCTGAAGTCCTGCCTTGGCTAGGACCTCTTTTCCGAAGTCCTCTTAGCTTGAATGACGTCCCTCAGGTCGCCCCTCTGGCTGGAGGACTTCGGTTTTTGGGAGCGTTTCCTCTGTTGCCAAGACCCAGGAGGGGGGGCTCTAGAGGAAACGCTCTCCTTCTGCTCTGCCCTGTGGGAGGAGCTGGCTGATGGCTGGGGCTGCTTGCTTTGCCCCCCCTACTAGATTTGGCCTTCGCTTTCCGGGGGAGGTACTGCTGGAACGCCGCAGATTGTTTTCTCGACTCCTGAAACCCGTCGACAACCGAATTAACGGCGTCGCCGAACAGGCCAGAAGCCGAAAGCGGCGCATCCAGCAGGAAGGACCTATCCTTTTCTTTAATACCGGATAAGTTCAGCCACAGATGCCTCTCCGTGGCCACCATGGCCGCCATAGAGCGGCCAATAGCGCTGGCCGCTTCCCTAGTGGCCCGGAGAGACAAATCTGCGGCCTTCCTCAACTCCGCGACATCTTCAGGAGTAGGCCCCTCCCCCTCATCCAAATCTTTCAGGAGGTCGGCCTGGTATGCCTGCAAAATCGCCATTGAGTGCAGACACGAACCAGCCCGACCCGCCGCCATGTAAGCCCTGCCCACCAATGCAGATGTCTCTCTGCAGGGCTTACTAGGCAACACCGGGGTCTTTAGGGAAGACGCCGATTCGGGAGAGAGATAGCTCGCTAAAGCCTCCTCCACCTTCGGCATCTTCCCATATCCCATATCTCGAGCCCCCATAACATTGCTGTAATCTATTACATTGGGACTCGAAATACGGGACGAATGCGGTCTTTCCCACGTTCTCGAGATCTCTTTATGGAGATCAGGGAAAAACGGCAGACCCCGGCGGTGAGGCTGTGACCTGCGCTGCAGGTAACGCTCGTCCATTTTACTGGTGACTTGCGTTTCCTGCTCATGTTGTGGCCAGCTGATGTTTAGTCTGGCCACAGCGCGTGTCACAACCTCCACCAGCTCCTCATAACCCAGGCCGCGTGATGGCGTGCTGAGATCACGGTCGTCCGCATCGATGCTGAGCACGTCCCCTTCCTCAGAAGTAGACAGCTCAAGCACCGGGACCTGATCGCGGGTAGGAGAAACCGCAGCGCGGGCTCCCACACCACTCTCAGAGGCTGCGGGATCAGCCGATGGCGAGCGAGAAAATGCCTCAGCATTCTCACTCTCCTCCGCCAGATCCCGCTGCGAACCCCAGGATCTCAGTCGCCGCATCGCCTCGACATATGCGGGACCGGAACCCTGGGGAACGCGAGCCTGACCGTGCTCGTCAAAGCACGCCAGCCGGGAGCGCAGCACTCTAATAGGCAAAGCCTCACACATTTCACAAGCAGCCCCCTCGAGAGCTGCCCGTGCGTGCTGCACTCCCAAACAATACACACAGAGAGAGTGTGCGTCCCCACCCGTGATGTAACGAGGACAGGGATGCACACACCTCTTGAATTGTTCACTGGCCATACTTTCTTTCAATAATAAGACAAACAACACCAAATAAGACAGACAGTTTCAACATAAAGCGCTTGCTGAAGAGCGAAAGCTAGTGTGTGTTGTGACAGCGTCACTTTTATACTTCCGGGTATGCCGTCACATGTTACGTCACGACGCAACACCAATCAGGATTGGATTAGTTTCATTCATACTTCAGAGGCGCACGCTTAGGGAGCGTCCCCAAAGAGTCGATTTTATCGACGCAGTGTTGAGTTCCCTCGATAGGGAACTGAAGTTAATCTAGCACTGAATGATTACAATCTTACAACAAAGGTCCCATTTGTTACCTAAAATTGACTAACAATGAGCAATATTTACAGCATTTATTAATTTTTGTTAACCTTAGTTACAACTGTATAGGGTTAGGCTTAGTTCACGTTAGCTGGGGTCTATTAAATGTTAAAAGATATAACTTTTGATTTTAATAATGCATTGGTAAATCTTGAAATTAACATCAAGTAGCCTACCAGTAAATGCTTCAGAAGTAGGCCTGGGCTATGTTTCATTGTTAGGAATGATAGAACCTTATTGTAAAGTGTTAAAAAAAACATGGCCTAATTCAAAGAAAATGATGGATGATAATACATGTCCAAAAAATACTTGATTTGTTTTTAAGAGAGTAGCCTGCCTATTGCTACACTTCATAAGAACTAAGGTAAGTTATGGTGCAGGGTAAGTTACTCTAAAAAGGAAATTAATTAACCTACTGGATTAACTTACTAATTACATATTCAACAGTGCTATTACTGTAGCTACTAATAACTCCATCTAAAAAGTATTCGATTAACGTTACTCATCATTTTACAATAAGGTTCTACTAAAACAAGGCTACTCTAGGCCTAAAGTGTAACTTAATTACAGAAAAATTAAGAGTAGCCTAATCCCTTACTTTACTTTTTCAAGGGAAAAGTAATTAAATTACAGTAAATAGTAAATAGATTGCTTAGTAGGCTAATTAATTACACTCAACACTGGTTAATGTATAGTATGGACAAGAAATTAGCGTTTAATGCCTGGTTAGCATTTACGTGAATGGCATTCGTGTGCAATTAGAAAGGTAGGCCTATGGTGTAGGCCTATCTCTTCATATTTTTTAAAATAACTATATCATGTATATTTGCTACACTTCCGTCTCACTTAATTGGTATTTTTGAATAAGTATGTATATCTACAACATATTGTCTAAATTCAAATTATGTCAAAACTGTTCGTGTTGTTAGGCTAAATGTGAATAACCGGCATTGTACCGCTATCTAACACCTGTTATTTCACTTATATTACACTCATTTGTTATTTTTGACACATTTTGAGTTATAATTTGTCTGAGCTATAGCCTAAAAGTGTCTTACCTCATAAACCTTGCTTCCTGTCTGACTCTGAATCCTGCGCGCGCCGCTCTAGGCAGTTAACGGTTTTTGCGCGAGTGGGAAACGTAGGCTGTCTCGTGCGATCATTCAAAGTTGAAATGATATCCACATAATAATATGAATATTTTACTTTAGTCAGATGTTTGGCAACTGTGCCCGTTGTGCCATTTTTTAAGTTACAAAAGTAGACATAATATTCCACAAGCTTTGTATTGTGGCCTGGTTGTGGTAGACTATTTTTTTCCAAACGTAGCCTAATACAAACATGTTACACGCGACGTTGCAAACTGCAACCAAAAAAACAACGTTGTGAAGACGTTGTGTGCTTGCAATGGGTCAAGGTAGGCAATCGTGGTGCAACCTCCGGGGTTAAAACCCCGGCACAGGTGCAATTTCCCCTTTGTATGATATGAAAGCTACAGTCACATTTGCATGCCGAATTCAAACACGTCTCCCCATTCCGAAGGTCCCAGTCTCTAGCAGACGAATGTAAAGCAATTTTTGGCACTGAGCCCGTGTGGCGTCTGCGTGCCGCACGCCGAAAAAATGTGACAGTGTGCACAAAGGAATCTAATGGAAACTTCACAGAATGTGCATTGATGGATGCAACGGCGCATACGAGATACCAAATGTTCCACGCACACTAAAATATCATGCATTAACATGCATTCGACTTAAAAACAATAACACTAATAATTCATATTCAAGATGCATGTGATTTTGTAGCAATATACAGTCCAATGTGATCAGCGTGTGCAATATAACCACTGAAACATGGTTAGTGTGATAAATTGCAACATTTTCCAGTTCAGGCAGTTTGCACATAGACAGCGTTGTTATAGTCAACAGACAGCATACCAGTTCGTTTTGTTTGACATCGTTCTATACAAAAGGAAAGCAAAAATGTTCAAGTGGCATCGTTTATCTTGAGACTCGATGACCAGTGAACTCTCCGATCCCAATACCAACAACTGTAAGTTCCTAGCGATCAATAGGCTACTGACCAGGGACGCCGGGTCAACATTCTCAACATTCCTCCATATCACTGTGCATATGCAGAAATGTCACCCGAGACTATGCACTTTAGAACATGCCATATTTGCCCAGATGACAAAATGTCGTCGTATGCATTATGATTTATTGCATTACAGCATGCATTCGTAGTTTAAACCTCGCCGGCATTTTATACTTTTTAAAGATGTTTCCATATTTGTGAATTTGAACGAACGCTGTTTGTTGCATGACATGCATTCAAAAAACATTAAAATAGAATTATTTTTACTTACGATTTCAGAGGATTTTGGACCACTGTGGCCATTTTGATATAGAATGATACAATGTAAGACTGCAGATCCCCGGTATTGTACATGTAATATAGCAGCAATTTCAATTTCATTCATTCTCTGGGGCTGCGGCTGGATCCGCTGGCCAATGGGAGCGCGACTGACTGATGGCCAGTGACGGGAAATGTAGTTTTAGTTCCGCGATGTCTTCAAGATGGAAGCGGTGCGTGTACTACAAATAGCACAATGCACTACGGTTAACTGTATAATAGTCCCGCCTTGATTTTGTATGGGTAACCCAAAACATCTACTGTAAATTCAAGGTTGGATTGCTGAACTGTCTGTCAGTATTTTGCTCTCATGTTGGTAGCTTTTTTTGATTCGTAGAGAAATGGGAATATTTTTAGATAGCGATGGCAGAAAGAACAACATAAAGACATCGTCCGTTCATTTTGTGTAACGTTAGGCTACTAGAGATAATCACAGAAAATGTATGTAGGCACTGACCAATAACACATAGCTTTATTAAATAGCTTTAATTAATAAATAGGCTATAGGCTATATCCATCTCACTAATAAAGGCCACATAGTGTAGCCTATACTTGTACGTTACACATTTATTTTCCTATCACTCCATTGACTCTGTGTAGCTATACAGACCTAATAATACTTTCAAATTATCTAACCCTTTAAACTAATTTTTTTTTGCATTTTACATTTTCAAGAAGACATTCTTTTCTATTTTCTTATATAGCATTTTTGCATGCTGGTTGCATGACTGTTGCAAATACACATGTGTGTATATATGTTTATATATACAATGTGTGTGTGTGTGTGTGTGTGTGTGTGTGTGTGTGTGTGTGTTATTGGCTATATAACAGTCAAAAATGCAACAGTCATGCAACCAGCAGTGTGTGTATTATTGTCTATATACAAACATATATATATATATATATGAAGAGTTCAGATGCAAAAGCCTCTAAATGCCATTTGAAATTTTCTTCTTTAATGATGATTTTTTATCAAACTTGTATATATAAGTTCAGTAATTTCACTTAAATAACAAATTAATAGGTAATTATCATTGCCATTTAAGTGAAATCAAACAATAACAAATTGATACAAATATTGTGACAAGAGGCCTGACTGACCTCTAAAGGAAATGGAAGTGACTTATAAAGAGCTCTTCAGTCCAGTTAACTGCATTGGCGCCACTTTGAAGGCATTCTGTGACATGTGATATTTATAGATCCCTGCTAACAAATATTTAATGAACCTTAGCAAGCTCTATGGAAAGACTGTCTGAACAAAAAAAATGTCCTGTTGAATCATCAGGGATTTCTGCAGAGCACACTTTTTTTGCATTTTTAAAGGGGATTTTAGAGTTGAGCTAATCTTCAATGCATTATATTGCGATGCAAGAAATCCTATAACTAAAATTAAATATCATATTATGTTTGCAGTTGCACCACAACACTTTTACCCAAAAATGAATTATCTAATTCTAGAATAATGAGCTAATTATAGAGCTTATATTATGGAGATTTGTTTGTATTGACCAGGTTTGTATCAGTATGAACTTTTGTTTTCTGCACACAAAGACCGCCACACGACAGTGCCTCATAATATCCACTAGAGGGTGTCAGAAAGGGCTTACTAATCCAGAATGAAGGCGCTCATTGAACAGCAACAGCGCCCTCTTGAGGTCAGCTAGATATCCAAGTAAATAGTCTTGGGACAGTTGTAGTCTAAAGCTTTCCGGGATTTGGGATGGTTTTAAATCTTTCACTATGTCTGAAATGCTACTGAAAGGTATGGATGAGATTAGTCTTGGGCCTGGGCCTGGTAAGATGGAAGAGGAGAAAGAAAATGGACGGAGTTTTCTCCTGGTTGACGAAAACGAAAGCTTGCAGGTTTGTTTTTGTTAGCTGCTGCGTTAGCCATCAAGCTATTAGGTAAAAAGCACATGCAAGAGTTAGTGTCTTTGTTGTTTTTATACACTTTGACAGGTTTCTGTCGATTCACGAGCAGGATAGTTATTAATTATCATACGTGTAATATAAATAACAGACACAGATAAACTAACCCTAAACTGTCAATGTTGCTGAATCACAAGGAAGAGGTGTCTTTTCTCAACATGTAAGGATCTCACTGACATGTAAAGGAAGATACCATGGTTTATAATGTTTTCGGACATGAATCATAATGACCAACCGTTATATTCTTGATGTACATTGTTAATACCATGGTATAACAATATAGTAATCATTCACTGTTATCTATTGACTATCCCTTGAGAGGTGACAGTGCCATTTCAGATAGTTTACGGTCTTTCCAGGGACCAGCATGCATTGCTTTCACTGTGAGATTGTGACTGAATAGAGATTCCTAATGAAATTTCATTATGTTCTTATTCCTTTGTTGTTTCAAATCCATCTGACTTTCTTTCTTCAATGGAACACAAAAGGCAGGATGACTCATTCATCATTAATGATGACAATTGTAATTTTTGGGTGAACTGTCCCTTTAAGATAAATAGATAGATATATAGAAACAGAGACCGATAGATATATAGATTGGCCGATAAATAGACAGACACAATACACACTCACCGGCTTCTTTATTAGGAGTACCTTGCTAGGACCAGACTGGACCCCTTTTGCCCTCTAATTTTGAAAATGACCTTTGTGCTATAGATTCAACAAGGTGCTGGAAACATTCTTCAGAGATTTTGGTTCATATTGACATGATTGCATCACCCAGTGTCTGAAGATTTGTCAGCTGCAAATCCATGATGCATGCCTCCCATTCCACCAAAAGTGCTTTATTGGATTGAGATCTGGTGAATGTGGAGGCCATTTGAGTGTGCTAAGAAAATATCTCTCACGCCATTACACCACCACCACCAAACTAAATCTTTGCCAAAAGGCAGGATGGATCTATGCTTTCATGTTTTTTATGCCAAATTATTAGCCTACCATCTAAATGTCGTGACAGGAGTGGCACCCAGTGTGGTCTTTTGTTGCCATAGCCCATCTGCTACAGGGTTCAACGTGTCCAGAGATGCTCTTTGGCAGAACTTGGTTGTAACGAGTAGTTATTTGAGTTACTGCATCCCAAACCAGTCTGGCCATTCTCCTTTGACCTCTAGCGTCAACACGGAACTGCCATTCACTGGATATTTGCTCTTTTTCTGACCATTCTCAGTAAACCGTAGATGGTTGTGGGTGAAAATCCCAGTAGATCAGCACTTTCAGAAATACTCTTACCAGCCCGCCTGGCACCAACCATGCCACGTTCAAAGTCACTTAAATCACCTTTCCTCCCCATTCTGATACTCAGTTTGAACTTCAGCATTCACCTAAATGCATTGAGTTGCTGCCATGTCATTGGCGTATTAGATATTTGTGTTAACGAACAGTTGAAAAAGTATACCTAATAAAGTGGCTATAGATAGTTAGTTGCTCTGATCTTGATGTCTCTCATACTCTTTCTCTCTCTCAGGTGAAGAACGAAGGTGATTTTCTGCAGAAGTTGGGCTGCAGTGCTGCTCAAGGAGTTAAAGTGCTTTCCATCTTTGGCAACACAGGCGACGGCAAGTCCCACACTCTCAATCACGTGCTTTTCGATGGCGAGGAGGTATTTGCCACGTCTCCTTCTCCATCCTCATGCACGGTGGGCGTTTGGGCGGCTTACGATCCGCTCCTGAGCTTGATCGTGCTGGATACAGAGGGCCTGCTTGGTGCCGCCAGTCAGCAGAACCGGCGGATGCGTTTGCTGCTGAAGGTTCTGGCCGTATCAGACGTGGCTGTTTACCGCACACGGGCCGAGAGGCTGCACAACGACATGTTTCAGTTCCTCGGCAGTGCGTCGGCCGCTTACCTGAAGCACTTTACACCTGAGCTCCGCACTCTGTCTAATCGCTGCGGGCTGGACGTGCCTCTCTCCAGCCTGGGTCCTGCCGTTATAGTTTTCCAGGAGACTTCTCGCACTCAGCTGCTAGGCCAGGGTAAGTCAGAGCTAGCAGACTTTCACATTTACAAGACCTGTGTTTATTAGTATGAATACAACATTTTTCTGATACATGTTGTTCAAAGGCTGTTGTACGACTAGCCTGGGGCAAAGGGATTGGGTCTGCACACCCTCATGGGGCCTAAACAAAAAGTCTTTGAAAAAATCCTGAATTTTAGGCTGGTGGAGAGTCCCACTGGAAAAACACAAGTTGTCAGTCAAGCCGAATTGTTTCATCGCTCCAACTTTTATTTCTCTCTGCTTACTTAGTGATGAGAATTTCGATTTGTTTCATTGCCTCTGTTGTCAAATGATAAATCTAGTCTGTAATATGCTGGGCCAATAACAAAGTGCTATTTTAATCAAAAATTCAAAACAAAAAATGCAATCCATCCAAAATGATGAAAAAAATTTTAATTTATGAATTTGGCTTAATTTTATTTTTATGGTCCATTTAACACATTCTGTTAGTAGAATATTAGTATATGGAAGGCATTTTCTGCCAAAATTAAATAAATAAAACAAGTTTAACCATTTCGTTACAGAAAATTGAATGCAAAATATGTGACAAAATTGATTATGAAATTAAATGATTTTCATTCCCTGTGAAATGGTTAAACTTGTTTTATTTTTCATTTTTATCATTTAATTTATTTATTTAATTTTGGCAGAAAATGCCTTCCATAGTTCAGAAGGGACCATCAAAAACAGTGTTACCATTAATTAAAATTCATTTTTTGAGCTGTCCTGATATCATAATGAAACAAAGAATTAAATTATTTTATTATTATTTCTTAGAAAAAAATATTTCACTGCTTATTAATATTTGAAAAAAGTAAAAAGTTTGAATATAATGAAGTCATGTGGTGCATAAGGGAAAAATAACCTGCAGACTTTCATTGCTGTCAAGTTAAAAATAATAATAATAAAATAACAATAATTAATTACTTAAGTATATTTTAAAACTTGCAACAAATAACGTGTGCACATTTATTCAAAGTAAATACTTTTTTTTACTTTTTTACATATTGGTAGACAGACCATATGTAAAAAGGTCTGTCTTTACAGACCTTTTGCTTTTTTACATATTGTTAGACAGACCACATGAAATATTTTAATTTAGTCATTAAATCTTAACTTCTTGAATTATTGAATATGGTATAAATATTTTTAAAGTCATGAAATCAACACGAATACAAAAAGATAAAGATATTAACTAAAATATTATTCAGTATTGCATTTTAAAGTGTCTTATTGCTTCTATAAAAGATTACTGCATATTAGTGCATAATAAAAATATTTAATTAGGACGCATTTTCAAAGGAGACAGATGTTCATACAAATCCTTTTATTTTTTTTGTCATTTGTCCAAAAGAAAAGAAAAACACTGAGGCATTAGAATTGGGAAGGAAGGTGATTTGAATGTCTTAATGGTTAAGCTTCTAGTTATCTAACACACTGCAGGGAAATCCCAAGGCATGGTGACTCAGGTGTGGATTGTAACAAAGATCACAATACTGCTCAATTACAATTGTGCCCTTGGGTAAACCCCATGCTTTCAGCATGCTGTAAATCATGGTTCATGAGATTTATTGTATAAACCACTTTAAAAAAAACACTGTAAATGCCTGGAAAAACATCTTTCATCTTTTTATTTTGAAACTATTGAGTTAACTGTTTGTGTCATCCAATGAACTGTGTCAGGCTAAAGAAATATGGGTTTGTTTTCTTATCCAGATGTGTCTGTCCTGGGGCAAGCAGACACGCTGCTGCAAAAGCGCTTCCATGAGTTGAAGGAGAGCACAGACGCCTTCAGCTCCGTTCAGTACGTGGGCACCCAAACCATCACTCCCCCCACAGACTACTCACAGTTACTGCAGATAGTCAATCAGCAAGTGAAGAACACATCCCAGCGAGCCCCGCGCCAGCCTGCCATTGTGTTCAGTGCATTACAGGTATCTCCTCACGCATTTCTTTGTGTATGTGTGTGTGTAAAGTAGCTCCAAAAAAGAATTTATACGCTAAAAGGGATAATCCACCCAAAAAAAAAAAAAATTCAGTCATAATTTACTCACCCAACATTCTTCAAAATATCTTCTTTTGTGTTCAGCAGAAGAAGGAAATTCATACAGGTTTGGAACAATTTGAGGTTGAGTAAATAATGACAGAATTTTCTTCGTTGGGTCAGTATCCCTTTAAGCTTTGATATATTTTCTATATAATGCAAATAAATTCATGCATTTAAAGGAATAGTTCACCCAAAAATGAAAATGTCATCATTGTTTATTCACACTCTTGTGTTCCAAAAATGCACCATTAAAGAGATGTGTTTGACTCTGACGCTTTAAGTAAACATATACTCATGTTCAAAAGTTTGGAATTTTTTGAACGCAAAATGTGTTAAATTGATCAAAAGTGACAGTAAAGTCATTTTGAATGTTACAAATATATATATATATATATTTTTTAAATAAATACTGTTCTTTTGAACTTTCCATTTATCAAGGAATCCTGAGAAGACATATAATAAGGTTTCGACCAAAATATTAAGCAGAACAATTGTTTTTTTTAGCATTGATTATCAGAATTTTTTCTTGAGCATCAAATCTGCAAATTAGAATGATTGTGGAGGATCATGTGACACTGAAGACTGGAGTAATGATGCTGAAATTTCAGCTTTGCGTCACAGGAATAAATTTTAATTTTAAAATGTATTAAAATGGAAAATAGTTGTTCTAAACTGTAATAATATTTTACAATATTACTGTATTTTTAATCAAATAAATGCAGCTTTGGGGAGAATAAGAGACTTCTTTCGAAAACATCTTGCTGACCCCATACTTTTGTACGGTAGTGTACTTCAGTAAGTGTGGTGTAAGTGTCCTAAAGCACTTTTTGGGTTCAGGGTACGCATGTACTTTATGTGTTCACCTTTGACCACTGAGCATATTTCTGAAACTGCTCTTCACTAACCTCACTGCTCTGCTCTCTCTCAGGCCTTGAGTGACAGGTTCTGTGGTGAGATCTCCGATGACAAAATCAGCATATACTCCTTCTTTCCTGATGAATATTTCACTTGCCCATCAGTGTGTCTCAGCTGCAAGTAAGACCACACAAGTCCACATATTTTATGCTCCAAACGATAAATGGAATGTATGTTTGTTTGTTTTTTAAAGAGATAGTTCACCCAAAAAGGAAAATTATGTCATCATTTTACTCACCCTCAAGTTGTTCCAACCCTGTGTGAATTTCTTTCTTCTGCTGAATACAAAAGAAGATATTTTGAAGAATATGGATAACCAAACAGTTGATGGGCACCATTGATTGGGAAAAAAAAAACTACGGAAGTCAATGGGGCCCATCATCTGTTTGGATACCTATATCCTTAAAAACTATGGGAGTAAATGATGAAAGAATTTCCATTATAGGGTGAACTATCCCTTTAATGTGTGGCCCTTTGATGCATAGTAAATTAAGGAAATGTCTGCATTCTCACACAAAAGACTCTAATTTCATTGCATCAACACTGAGCCACTTTGTAATTTGATGATTCACAATTAGAAAGAACTAGGATCTGAATTCAGCATGCAAAACTAATGCATGGAATTGATTCACACTGAAAGAACAAAAAGTTGTCAATGCACTGTAATTAGAATGTAATTAGATCTTGCATCAATTGTTATTGTTTTAGTGTGTGTGTGTGTGTGTGTGTGTGTGTGTGTTCAAGAGCACTTAATAGCTAGCAAATCTTATCTAACCTTTCCAAAATCACACGGCTTTAGCGTTCGGTGTAAAAATGGCATGAACCACCAGAAAGATGCGGTCCCACACATGGCTGATGGATTATGTCAGTATGCCCACCAATACAACAATAAAGTTCTCATCTGCAAGGTAACGTCAAAGTTAAGATAACAGTTGTTTTGTTTTTTTTTTCGTATTTTATTTTTAGTTAGTTTTTTGTTTTGTTACACGTTTGTTTTAATTTAAATTGTATTATTTTTTATTTTATCATTTAATTAATTGTTTTGGTTGTTTTTCGTTTTGTTGTACCATTGAAATTTTGTTTATTAAAATTACTTATTTTCTCTATTTGCACTAATTTATTTTATGAAATATCTCATTGTATGCGCCACACTGCTGTGCTGCAAACACTTTGCCAATGCAAAAGTGCAGGGGGATTTTCTCATGTAAATAAATCACACTAAATTGAATAGAAATTAAAACTGATTTACAGAGGTGCTATGAAAGCGGAAAGGAAGTGATTGTCATACCCAAAACAACTGCCTCTACAGATAACCAATGGCTTGGTCTGGCCAAGTATGCATGGTCAGGGTGAGTGAGATGGGTTTTTTTCTACTAAAACTAAACTCCACAGCTGCTCCTCATCCATGCTCTGAACCCTGGTCTTGTTCTACAGCTATGTTTTAGAGTGTGCCAGCTGTGGCATCATCTACCGGAGTCGGCAGTACTGGATGGGCAACCAGGATCCAGAGAGCGGTGTTGTGCGGCCAGAGGTCAAGCATGTCTGGCAGGGGGTGAGTCGATTCTCTGTGTTATCATCCATGTGCTGACTCCATTGATGCTCTCAGTGGTTAATGTTTTTTTTATATATATGCTTGTAGACCGATGCCTTCCAGACAGACCATCAGAATGCAGCTCAGCGGGTTTTGGATGGAATGAATTACATAATCCAGTCAGTGTCAGAATATAGCTCAGGCCCAACCAAAGCTGTCACTGCCTGGCTCACAGACCAAGTGGCTCCGCCCTACTGGAAACCCAATGCTGAAATCAGTGTAAGTTGATACGCCCTATAGCAGGGGTGCCCAACCCTGCTCCTGCCGATCAACTGTCCTGCACAGTTCATCTCAAACCCTAATCAAACACACCTGCCTTTAATGTAATTGGTTGCTTCAGGTGTGTTTAATTAGCAGGATTGGGCACCCCTGCCCTATAGGAATATGTGAAAAAGAATTACAAGCATGTGAAAGAAAATATCAAACGCATCAATTACTTTTTCATGTGAATACAATTAAACATCATGTTGGTCTGTTCAGGAATGTCATGGTTGTAAGAGAGCGTTTGAGGAGGCGGAGAGGAAACACCACTGTCGGGCATGTGGGGAGGGTTTCTGTCAGGCCTGCTCTACTCACAGCATGCCTGTCCCTGAGAGAGGCTGGGGCGGCACCCCTGTACGAGTGTGTGACGCCTGTTACCGGCAAGGAGGACCGCAGAACACTGGACAGGGTGAGGGCATCGTTCTCTTTTAAAAGCACACTTCCTGTCTGCCCTCATAGCACCTCTGTAACAGAAATGGTTTATCATGGTTATCCCATCATCTTTTTGTTTCAAATTGAAAAATCTTATCCATTTTGGACAGTTTTTGCGAACAGATTAATCTGAAACCTCAATGAAATAAGTGGAGCATCTAGGCGACTAGTCTTAAAAGTACAGCATTTAATTCAAAATGAACAAAATACATCATTAATCTTTCTCACAAAACGTGTTTTTGTCTTACCTTGATTCCCCATTATAAGCCTATTATATGTGCAGCAAGTATACACTTTCAAAGTTTACAATCAAATTTGGGGTCAGTAAAATTGTTTTTGAAATTTTTCACTAATATTATGAAACATAGTTTCCATTTGTATCCATTTTAAAATTGTAATCTATTCCTGTGATGCAAAGCTGGATTTCCAATACTCCATTAAGTGTTCATTTGTGTCACATTATTCTGATATGCTGATTTGCTGTTCAAGAAACATTTATTATTATTATTATTATCATCAATGTTGAAAACAGCTTTTATTTAATATATTTGTGGAGTCTTAGATGTTCAAAAGAACAGCATTTATTCAAAACCGAAATCTTTTGTAACATTACAAATGTCTTTACTGTCACTATTGATCAATTTAAAGTGTCCTTGCTGAACAAAGGTATTGATTTCTTACCCTAAATTTAATCATTTTATTTAATAATTTTAATAGTAATCTATTCATCCAAGTCTGGCATAAAATAGCTGTATTATTCTACACACAGAATAAACCATTTAAAATGATGCATGTTTGAGTTTGTATTTCTCATCTCGACTGATCCTGTGCTTATTTGTCTAATGTCTGCAGAGAATATTTAGCCTTGTCACAAGAGTATTCTCCCAGGGTTATTGAGTTCAGTTGACTGAGTGTTGCATTTCCAAAACAGTTTTTAATTGCTCAGTGTGGGATGTTGACGATACATTCTCTCCCTTCCAGTGGCCAGTACAGAACCCCGGATACTGGTTGCCCGCAGAGTGACAGAAGTAGCTCAGTCCACTCTCGACATGGTCTCCACCGCTGTGGACTACCCTCTCTGTGAGTGTTACCAGTACACATTCATTTGCTTATGCATTGTTGTGTGTTTGAGGTGACAAATGACATGTGTTTGCACATCTTGTCCTTTAATACAGGTTTTGTAAAGGGAGTTGCGAGACCAGACTATTGGATCCCGGATCATGAGATCACCCAGTGCCACTGCTGTGCTAAGCCCTTCATCCCCAGCATGTCCAAGCACCACTGCAGGGCATGCGGGCAGGGAGTGTGCGGGAACTGCTCCAGTAGGACCAGGCCAGTGCCCTCTCGTGGCTGGGACCACCCAGTGCGAGTGTGTGACGGCTGCGCTGACCGCAGGGATTCCCTGTGACCTTGCTGTGCCTCTGTAGTGCTACTCTAATACTCCCAGCATCTCTTGGTGCCCAGAAACCAGGTTGTAGGCAGTTTTTCAAGCCTTCATGGATGGGGGAAATAAGAAACTCACTGCAGTTCTTCATTGACAAACACTCAGGCTCTATAAAGCATTAGCTGCTGAAATAGAGAGTGATGATGTCTGGGTTCAATTTAAAAGAGTTAACTAAGAAATTGCATAATGAAAATAATTTGTAGAAATATCAAGGTTTATTATAGGACAGTTAAGCTTATTTTATACACAAATGCTCATTACTGTAATACAGTTGTGAAAATCACACACACTCAAACATATTATATAAAGAAATGCCTTTTATTATTTTGCCTAGGGTGAATAAGCATCTCAGAAATTTCTTAATTTTTTTTTTTTTTTGTAAGATTTGCATCAGAAATTAAAAAGATGAAAAATACATTTTAATGGATTTTGATAGATTCTATAGTGCTGGCACTGAAAACAAATCGCCCTCTAAAAGTGCATTTCTATGTTTAACGTCTCATCATTTCTGTCCCAAAGATAAGACGGCGAGAGCAGTAAATATTAACATATATTATGTTTAGTAAATTATCGTTTGAGATACGTAGGAGGTGTTACACTAATACAGAAGCGTTTGAATATCATATAGCAGCCTTTTATTGGTAGAGTTTTATACTTTATTCCTGGAACAGAGCAAGAGTAGCCTAGAATTCACATTCCAGTCAAGACAATGCAATGAATCCTGTGAACTCGTATCTCATTGAATTTTTTTTTATCAATATAGTTCTTTACTAATTTTTCTGAAATATAACGACTGCACTTTATCTCATTTTTACTATCAAATTTCTTAAGTTGAGAGCCATATAATATAATACATAAGATACAAACTGTACATATATGATGAAAGTGGAATTATTCAGCAGCCAGTAGCATTTGCAGTGCCTAATGGATCTTGACAACTATACTTGCAATGCATATAAACAGTACTATAACAGGATGGTTGTGTATGACATTTAATGCAGGCTTACACTAAACTGAATGTTGAGTGGTTTCCTAACATGTACAGCTCATAAAATGGCTTATTTAAGGCACTTTTTGATTTGAGAGAATCCATGTGGAATTTTTTAACTATGTTTTTTTGTTTTACAATTCTGCTTCTACTCTGTATTTTTATCTGGAATAGAACATTGTAGTCTTCTATGAAGGGATTTAACCAAAGCAATGGTTTTAATTGCACATTAAAACCACCTGCATTTGACAATCCTGCAAACTATGTTTTGATTGGCCGATACTGTTTTTCAGGCTTCTACTCAGAACATTAAAGCTATTTGAAAGCAGCCTGCCTTCTTGATTCACAAGATAACAGACATCTATGGGAAATAAGGCTGTGCACAAATGCGAGGTCATCTGGAGGTAGATGTCTAGATTTCCTGCTCTAGGCCCTTAAATAGATGAAACGGACTCAAAATCTGATTTAAATCATGGAGGTTGTACTCACATTTCCTCCATTTATAACATTACCGTCTGGCAAACAGCCTGCCTCATCACATCTACAGGAAACTGTCTTGATGGGTTTACTGATTATGTCAGCACTTGGGTGAGTATCATTATGAACATCACATACAGGCCTGGTTTCACAGACAGGGTTTATATTAAGCCAGGATTAGGCCTCGGTTCAATTAGGGCGTTTAAGTAGCTTTTATAAACTTGCCTTTGAAAAAAAGATTGGTGTGGATATTGAGACAAAACAGTGCCTGACGTTAAGATATGTAAGTTGCTTTCATTTAAAATGCCTCTGATATGCATTTTAGTTTGGGACTAGCTTAAGCCTTGTCTGTGAATCCGGGAGAAAGTGTATCGTGAACAAGTGTTATTGAAGAGATATCAAATGTGTAAAAAGGTAACTATTGGGACCATGGTATTACCAAATAACTTGCCCAATTCTCTCTCGCGTCATTCCTTTTAGCGATTACAATGGCTTTTTTCAATTGCTGGTACTGGTAGAGAGCAGGACTGATAATATGTCAAAATATAGTGTATATTTTTTCTTATACCGTTTTAATTTTAGGCTACTTACCCCAAACTTTTGCATTGTAGTGTATCAAAATATTTAGCAGCAAACTGTGTTCAACATATAAAAGAAAATGCACTGGCACTTATTTAAATGTATATCAAATCACTGCAATTAGCTTAAGATGTATATCACACATGTATGCACGCATTTATATATACGTATAAAAACGTTTGCAAATTATTTAAATTGTTCCTAGAACGAGCGAGCGAAATTAGAAATCATTTTCGGTAAATGAAATACAACAAAATTTCTAAACAAATTAAACTAAAAAGAAACTTAAACTTATTTTATTTTGGTGCCAAGGTAACATTTCTAACATGTTTAACGTTTTAGTTTAATACACTGAAAAAAAAAATAAAGCTAAATAGAAATATTCAAAACATAATAATTAAAATGATAAAAGCACATAACACAATTACTAAAACGCAACTAAATTATTTTTTTTTAAAATTATATTAATAATACTAAATGAACACCGTGGTTTTTATTATTTTTTTCTTTTCTTTTTTTTTAACAAAGTTGCGCAACCACACTGTAACCAGCAGAGGGAGGCAACACTACTCCCAACAAGAGACCCCGTTCAAGATTTTAGCATTTCACTCATTTTAGGGTCTTGTTGCATATTGTACTTATATTTATACTATTGTACTTGTATTTATTGTATTTGTAACGTAGTTCATATAGAAACAAACAAAATACAAAAAATCAAAAGTCTGCTAAATAAAAAAGAGACTGAACTTGACGACAGGCCTCACTCGCCAAAAAAAGAAAAAAAAAAAAGCCATTTCTAGCTCTGGTTCATTTTAGGACAAAAGGATCAAAAGAGCCCGGATACCTGACTCCACTGTTTAATCCATGGGTCTTTTATAATTTGTATTGTTCTTGTACAGGAAGATAAAGATTACGCACAAAGACAAAGATCTAACATAAATACTTCATCAAATTACTTTATGAAACTATTAAGTCTTGTTGCACAAGAAATGATGTAATGAACTGCTTATAACACATTTTACAACCCATATCTTCATCATGCAATATATATATATATATATATAGTAAATTCCACCATTTAATATAGACTAATATCAACAAAACTGACACACATTTGTGTAATTGTAACTTTTAAATGACAGAGAAAAGCCCTGTCTATAGCTAAAGCCCCAGTCAATTCTGCTGGTCTACTATTGTTGCTTCTTTATGCTGTTTAATTCTATTGAGATCCACTGCTCTATGAGTCTGAATAGTTAGATATTTCACAATGAGCTTTATCAGTCTCTTAAAATGCATAACATCATTTGCATGGACAGCTTATAGTCCACTGCGGGACCCTGTCATGCACTTTGTGTTTATCTCGTCCTGCAGATGCACATGCTTGGACCATGAGCTCCAGCCAGTCAGAAAAAGTAGCAGCACATGCCAGTTCAGCAGAAAGAATTATTGTAATTCCTTAATCCCCATTTCACACATTACTATTTTAACTGGAACCGCCCTGATTTTGGCTGTTTTATTTATTTTTAGTTGAAACTTAATCCGGGACATTGTTTTATTGGAATTCACAAATAATAGCCAGCTTATATATTGAATTTGCAACACAAAAACTGCTGTAGATGCATCAGTGCAGAATATTGTATAGCTTACTCACCATACTGGAAGCCTTTGCCAGTGTAATTTATATCCGGGGGCCCAGTGTTTTCCTGCTTACTGGCTCTTTTTGGATGATTATTAATGGCTGTTTTGCTTTCGTATCCATGGCAACTGATCCTGCACTGTCCCGTTTTCCCCCTCATCCATACAGTCACTCTGTGGGTGCAGGACAATAAGAGGAGAGTCGTCACCACGGAAAGCATTCTCTCATTTTCTCACGCTTCCCCGGGGAAGACATGGCGCCTTGCTCGGGTCCATTTAACAATTCGGATTCTCAGCTTTTCTACTGAGACACAAAGAAGGCACTAATAACCAGTTCTGCCAGTTTGTGTGGCTGATGGTCTGCGACTTTTTAATTTCAAAAAGTCCATTCATAAATCTTTTCAAGGGGCTCTATTAGATTGTTAGAACAAGAGGGACCATACAGTATAGAGAAACAATGGAGCAGCACATCAACAATATTCCGTTTTGAATCATAGCCCCGGACCATAACGAAGACATTAATGTGGTGATGGGGATTAATTTGACATATTTCTATAGATTTTTTTTTTAAATGATATAAAATCGTATTTTTTAAGTCATTATACTGAAAATAAAGTCATTAATAATAGACCATAAAGCAAATTAAAATTATACTGATAGATTATAAATTAAAAACATCATAAATGTAAGTAGTCTATTTATACATCATGGTATGCATAAATACTAAAATTAACATCAATGCATCATATATAAATACTTACATTTATGATGTTTTTAATTTATAATTTATCAGTATAATTTTAATCGCGATTAATCGCATCCAAAATAAAAGTTTGTGTTTACATAATATATGTGTGTATAATTATTTTGTATATATATATATATATATAAATACACACACATCCATGTATATATTTAAGAAATATTTGCATGCATATACTGTATATTTAAACATAATTTATATTAAATATAAATAGTAATATTTTATATATTAATAACACATTTTTCTTAAATATATACATGCATGTGTGTGAATTTTTATATACAAAATAATTATATACATCACACACACGTATATTATAAACACAAAGTTTTATTTTGGATTTTCGTTGCCCATGCCCTAATATATATATATATATATATATATATATATATATATTTATATATATAAAGTACATACACAATTTATTCATAATTTTCATCTGATGTATGATGTACATGAATTAAGCCACCAACAAAAGAACCATTGTTTATATTATATTATTTATTTATCTTTTATACAATGTAATTACAATAGAAATATGTAGGTTTAAATACAAAATTCTGTAAATAAAGAATAAAAATAAACTCCACTGGTTTGTTATCACTACACTTAAGTTTACAATCAACTTTATGAGGTAATTTAGTTCCCCGGTTTTGAAAAACCTCGATTTTGTCAAGGGGGAGAGAGCGGACAAAAAGACCAGGGCATTTGAGTAGAATTAATTCATCCATTTAACGCCACACAACGCATCGCTTGGCCGAATTACAAATGCATTGTCTTTGGAAAAAGAACTATTTTTAGATTCATTGTGCCACACAATAGACCCGCTTGACCCTGTAATAAACAATTGATAAGAAAACCGAGAGGTAAATTTAAAACACATTACGGTCAAAATGGCCTTTTCGAAACAGGAGTTAAAAACATTGTGCCTGCCTTGAACGTCCACTGCTATTACGTCTCAATAGGAAGTGTGTGTGGAGTTCACCTCACCGAGCACAGTGTGCAGTCTGACTTTGATCATCTAGCTTTGAAAATTGCAGGCTCAACACACTCCAGAAAGATCATTCAACATCTTATTCGTACACTCTGATGAAAATAAATATACAAACATTGAGCATTTTTTCTAAAGAGGTCATATGATGCTTTTAAATGTCTTCCCTTTCCTTTAGTGTGTAGCATGTATAAGATCTGCAAAGCCTCCTACAATGGGATTTATCGAATCGACGTCATGATGAGGCATATTGCCTGTCCAAAAAGGCTTCAGTGAATTCTAGTGCTGTTATGTCGTGGAGACGCTGTGTGTTCAGATGCGAAAACAAATTCCCTTTGTTTGGCCAGCAGAAAACAGATGAAATTATGAATGAGTGGTTAAGAGTTATTAATAACACTGTTCCTGCACAATAAAAGCCAAAAGTTAGCTTGTGTACAGCGCATTTTACGGAGGACAGCTGGGATTTCAGACAGACTAGGAATAGTGGTACTGCAATAGTTTACAATATGTGAAAAATAATGTTTTTTGAACATTTCATTACAAAATAAACGTTTAAAATAGCATCATATGACCTCTTTAAATGATAAATGTGCCTAAACGCACAACATTGGAGAAAATATGAACCTCATGAATGAGAAGGATTTGATTTTAGAATAATTGCATGAGATCCTATTGTGTAGAGTGCTTGACATTATTCACCTGCAATTAAAAGACAATTATTCCCTTTCTTAGACCAGCGAGAGTGAAACAGTGGTGATAAGAAACGAAAGCCAAGACTAATATGCATATTCAATGTTTTAACAGACTGTAATATGGGATATTTTAAACATGCATGACCTGTACCATTTGACTCTGTCCCTTTAAGAGTCTGTGTAGTCGTTCCATTGCTTGCATAAACGGACACTATAACCTTCCCTCTTCAACCCTTTTCTAATATTTTCTAATACAGTTGATCTGCACAAATACCCATTCTAACCCATTTTGTCATTTTAATGCCCTAGAATGGTCACAAAGTACATTCTTAATAACTGAGAAGCCCCGTGAATCCTATTGAAGGTAATGTTATTGTCAACTTGAACATATAATAAAAAATAAAACTATAATCCTCTGAAAAGTTGTTCCAGAAAAGGTTCCACGTCAATAAACAAAGGTCAAGGTTACTACACTGGCATTTTGGTCTAGTTTTTCATTGCATTATGGGTGTCAATAATATAGTCAGGGTTGGAATGTGCCTGTCGGTGAACTTGGTGATGCTTCGATGGTCATGACTGATTCACTTGAAATTAATGAAACTAAATGGCCACAGAAGGGGCAATAAATAAAAGTAAACTGAAAGCATGCTATTTACATCACAAAGTAAACTCAATCTTCAACAAGATATTGTAGCTCAAATTATTTTTAAATCTATCATTTGGTGACTCAGTTTTCAAGTAGCCAATTGTAATTTTTCACCCAGTTCAATAAAAATAAATACGAGGGGAAACCTAAGAATAATTAAAATCTGATTTAAAATAACCATTATAATCAAATAAAAACAATAAATAGCTTCTGACCATCCCCTAATTTCAGCATTTCCTTTACTGTAGGTAAAAAGGGTCATTACTGGTGAAAGTAATGTGCAGGTTTCTCTTTAAAAGCTGTCCCGTAAGTGCCAAACCATTGTGACTGTCTTTCCGTTCTCCAAATCTTGAGTCTGACTGTCAAAATGACACAAAATGCAACCGGATGATCTTTAACAACAACCAATACCCTCAAACAGACCAGGAGCGTAAGAAAGACCAAAAAAAAGGGAAGGGGAATGGGTTATGAAACAGTTCCAAACTTTCAGAGTCTCCTTACAATTATAGTTCAATCTCAAAAGTCTTTTGTAAGTCATTCGAAAAAGGGTTTTGCGCCTTCGGTTGCGATTTGGACTCCAGAGCAGCCCACTTTGCCTCAAAATGCTCTGCTTCCTGGGAACTTCCTGTGGGATTCGGATTCAGATTCTCCATCGGCCAACTAGTACCGCTTTTTACGGTGCTACCGTTTTGAGTAACACTGGTGGTCGCGGCCGTTGATGGAAAGGAGTTGTGCGGGTGGCCGTTGATGGTTGGAGGAGAGGCGAATGTGGTGGTTGGGAAACCTCCGGGGAGGGTGGGGAAAGCCGAATGTTGGCCACCACCGAGCGTACCAGTCTTAGGCCCCATCCCGATTCCCAACGCTGCTCCGCCCCCTGTACTGGCTGCAGAGCAGAATACATTAGCTACCATTTGCGACGGTGTGATGCCCACCACGGGCACACTGGCATTGGGGTAGGTCATGCTGTTGGCCAGAGTGGGCATATATGGCTGCATAGGTACAAAAGCTGGTTGAAGAGGCTGTTGGGTGAACATGCCAACAGGTGCGGGAGTGACGTCAAAGGCCATTGGGAATGGCTGCATTGAGGTGGGCAGGGAACCAGGTGCGATGGGAATAGTGGGCATGGGTGGAGGTTGCTGAGTGGGTGGTGGCGGTAGAGTAGGTGGAGTCTGCTGGGCTTTAACCGCTTTAGCAACCTCTTCCAGCCAGCGCTCTGCTTCAGATGGGGTCCGTTTGTGGCCGCCCTGAGGCACAGGAGCGGGAGACTGGACAGCTGGCTCTGTTTGAACCCATGAGCTTGTAGCTGGGGAACAACGGGAGGGGTAAGAATGTCAAGTCATCTTTATTTATAGAGCATTTTGAACAATCCAGATTGTTTTAACCTGTTAACAGTAAGCCCCCTTTTTAACATAGACGTGAAAATGTACTATGCAAACTTAAGGCCAATTCACACCGCACCGACAGACAGCAATAAACAATTCGTCGGGTTTTGTCGAATCGTGCGTTACCCCTTGCTTGATTGAACATGTTGGATTGCCATTAGAATGTCTGAGAAGTGACGTGCAGAAAACCGTTTACTGTAAAGCAGATGTACTGCACTTAAAGGGATACTCCACTTTTTTTGGAAATAGGCTCATTTTACCACTCCCCCAGAGTTAAACAGTTGAGTTTTACCGTTTTTGAATCCATTCAGGAGATTTTCTGATATTTAGAAGAATATCAGCAACCAGTTTCTGGTCTCATTGACTTCCATAGTAGGAAAAAAAAATACTATGGAAGTCAATGAGACCAGAAACTGTCTGGTTATATTCTTCTAAATATCAAAAAATTGTTTGAATACATTTGAAAACGGTAAAACCCAAATGTTTAACTCTTGGGGAGTGGTAAAATGAGCCTATTTCCAAAAAAAGTGGAGTATCCCTTTAACATTTGATATTTTATACAAAATGGATATTTTACAGAATAACTTGGACTCTAAAACGGTTAGAAAATCAAAGCCGTATGTCTAACCAAGTTGTGTTCCAAATTTGAAGTTGATATCACAAAAATGTAGGTTTCTGTGAGTTTTTGTTTAGGTGCTATACCAAAAAGCAAATGGGTGAGACACACTCTTCATTGATTTTTTTAATGAATTCTCCAGTCACAAAACTGACAAAACTTCTATCGCAAGACAGTGGCCAAATATATAACATTGAGACCTTTTCAACGATATGTGATTTGTCAAGATTAGAAAAAGTTTTGATTGCAAAATAGTGGAGTAAATTTAGTTAAATTCGAAACATAACACCGCCCATTAGGGGGAGGAATCTAGTACCAAGAGCAAATTAGAGTCTGGTTAATGACCAACTGTCCCACTACCAGGACACTGACAGTTAAGCAGCTTCACAGTAATTAACAGGAAAATATGAGACAAACTCAGTGTTGATCCGGTTCAATAACAGTGTAAAGTTAATTCTAAAATTAGTTTAATTCAGCTAGAAGACAATAGAGTTGTTTCAGCTTAATTCAGTTCAGTGTTGATTCAATTTAGTGTCGATGTTGAAAAATCATCAATTATGAAATCTATAAGGCTCTACAGAAGATAAAGTGTCGTCATCCAGCTTTAGTTTTGTTCTCATCCGATAGAGTCAGTGTAGTCAGATCTGTAATATTACTGTACTTCAAATGTCTTTTGAACCCCTCTTCAGAATATATCTATATGTTTGTGTTGGGTTATGCAGTCCGTGTTACCTTGCAGTGGAGCAGGTGGAGGGGGAATGGCAGGTGGAGCGCTGCAAACTGGCAAGCAGTTGCTGTTAGCTTTGGCACACAGGTCCTCAGATGGTTTGGTGAAAGAGTTGTTGATTTGGCTGCACAGAGCGTTTATGCTGTCTGCCTCTCCTGCCAAAGACAGATCCATCTCTGGAACTAACACAAACCAATAGGGAAGCTCAATCACACTTGTGTGGCTCATATTGGTGGGCCATGCATGCAGTTTATGGGATTTTGCTGGCTACAATAACCTGGGTCTATGATATAAGATTCAGTTTTGAATTAAATTCATACTTTTATCCAGCAAGGATGCATTATACTAATCAAAAGTGACAGTAAAGACATTTATGATGTTACAAATGATTTCTATTTCATATAAAGGCTTATATATTATATAAAATGATGTAAACTATTTGTACTGTATTTTATTCAAATAAATAAAGCCTTGGTAAAACGTATTATTTCAAAATCATTTAAAAAAAAACTCACCAACTTTTATTTATACGTTTAGGTTCGTAATATGTGATATGATCAATTTTGAATTCTCAAATTCTAGAATAAATTAATTTGTGTCTTTTAAAACTATATTATACTTTAATACAATTTAGTATAGAATTATAATATCAAACCTATATCGGTTATCAGCCCTAGCCTGACAATAATTGTCAGATTATCAGGATCACACAGAATTTTAAAATAGGATCTCTAATAAAAAAAATAAAATATAATTTTGTATATATTATTTTTATATAATAAATAAATTAATAATGGTCTGCTTTGTTTTGTTTGCACAACTACAAAGCAACATTTTTATGAAGAAAAACAATTGTACTACATACAATACGATGTCCTCAAACTTCCTACATATTTATTATTTGTATATTTATTATTCATGGATAAACCCTGTCTTATATGGCATTGTTAAAAACATGACCCATAATTCCCTTTTTCGAATTTAGTCCGGGGATTAAGCCAGAGAACAGAATCAGCGGCATAATTCAGTGCAAAACATGTTATCTATAGAGCACTACATGAAAAGGGATCAATGGAAGGGACCCTCATATAGATAACAGATCTAAGTAAATGCAGCAGTTTATGGTCTAGAGAATACACACTCAAATGTATGGGTACCATCAATGGAAATAGAGTTTCTGAGATGGTACTTTATGCATATTTGTATGCAGGCTCAGCATTAGATACATTTCAAATGCCAAAGTCCACTAGTGGATGATACAGAGTGCACAAAGCTAAGGCGGTAAACATTACTGGGTCAACATTACGGTTCCATTACACTTACACAGTTTGAGTACACAAAAATAACTCACCTGGGTTCTTGGTCTGGAAGTCCGTCTTGCGCTGAAGGGTTGATGGGAGATCATTCAAGCGTAGAGAGAGCTGCCGTTTGAAGGGTGAGTTCTTCTGGCTAAGTTGAGGGAAGCCTCGGAAGGAGCCCTGCCGCACCAGCTGCTCGATAGGAGCGTGTCGGCGCGGGATGGCGTGAGGCCCGCCTGGCTCCGCCCTCTCCCCAGGTGAAGCCGCTCCCTCCGGAGGAGAAGCATTTCCAGGTGGAATTGCAGAGATATAACATGCGTCTGCAGAGAGGGAGATTCACTAATCAGCAGCAGCATCAGAAAGAAAGCCTTTGGTGTTTGAGAGCAATGGAAACGAGACTGACCTTTCTTTTTGTCCTGCAGCTGTTTCATGATGTCCTCCCGGTCACTTTGCTGTCCAGCAGAGGAGATGCGGAAGGAGCCTTCCCTCACGAACGAGGTGCGGCTTGCATCGAAGGAAGCCGTGACCCCGCACTCCTTCTCTCTGCGTTGCTTCCGCTCAAGGCAAGCAGCAAACGCGCATCCAACTGCATGACTCAAACGTTCACCCTATAGTTGCATTAGCATTGTGGAAACACCCAAAAATATTTTCAATTAGCTTTTTTGTCTTGTTGTTCAAGAAAAAAACTTGAGATGCTAAGATAAATTTAAGGTAAAAACATAGTCTATAGACCATTTTGCAAGATGTAAACAACACTGGTCCAGAAATACTTCCTGTTTCGGTTTGTACGGTTTGTAACTTAAAGATGTTTGTTTAACTTTTTGATTCAGTTTTATATGTTCTGTTGGTTGTATTTTATCCCAGCTTTTATGTAGTGCTTCTGGAACAGTGTTGTGGTCTATGGTCTATATAATATTAAAAATAAAGTTTGATAAAACATAATACAACTACAAAATTTAAAGATATTTAAAACTTCTGAAAGTATATCTTAAATTAAGCAAGTTTTCACATATATCTTAGAATAATAATGAAAATGCTGTGGATAATGCTACATCACGGGGTAACACTTTAGTTTAGGGTCCAATTCTCACTATTATCCAGTTGCTTATTAACATAGTAAAGCGAGCCGAGTTGAGTCATTCTACATCCCTTAATTCCACTTGATACCTAAAATTAACATCTACCTATAAATAAGCAGTAATAATTATAGCTAATAGTTGGTTAAGAATTGGACTCTAATTTAATGTGTGACCCATTATCACAACACTGTACACTTTAAAAAAAACACCTTCTTCTTTTTTTACAATTAAAATATTTTGAAAAGCTAAGACAAATTTAAGATAAAAATATATTTAAATATATATATATATTTATTATTAAAAACAATACAATACATTTAAAGATATTTAATACTTCTGACAGTATATAAGATGTCTGACACTGTCTTAAATTAAGCTTATTGTTTCCAATATTTGTACATTTATGCTTAAAACAAGATGAAAAAAAACGTTAGTCAATGAGGTAAATAAACTTAATTCAAGAAATGAAGATATGTTTTCAGTATGTAACTACGTATCTTGTTTATGTATCATGTTAACTTTGGAATGATTGGGAAAATTATACTTTATACAGAGTATCAAAACGAGGTTAGTCTGTGTTTACATATCCAGTTCTGTTACTGTTTTTTTATGGGGTGTACAGAAACGTGATATGGTCACAAAAGTTGTTTTTGTCTAGAATAGTATTGGGATCCTAATCAAAGCTCCATTCCATTCTAGTCCTTAATGTGTTTTTCTCTGTGCCAAGTGCAGATAACAGCCTCTAAGCGGTTATGCCACTTGAGATAACACTGCAATAATCCCTATCTTAATCCCACTTTACAGGGAACAGAGGCTGAAGAATTAATCTCCGCTGGGTTCTGCTCACCGAGTCCTTCAAGGCCATGAAGCAGTGGCACATCCAGCGGCGAGTCGTTCCATCACGGCAGATGTAGGAGAACGCCTTATCGTAATTACGGTCAGGTGCGCAGAAAGACACTTTCTCAATGGTCTGGTCAACAATGAGGTCCTACAGAGAAAATAAGAAAGGGATAGATTGGTTGTTGTTTGTGGCATTTTTAAAAAAAAAATCTAAACATTTTTAAAATATACAGATTAAGTAACCACATAGGTAATATTTAACTATTGAGGTTAAATGTGTTTGGCTTTCTGTCCGCAGAGGAAGGGCTCCAGCTCAACTCAAGCTCTGATAAAGCAGGTGCTTGGAAGATATTTTTGGAAGGGTGCTTGTTGTATTTTTCTGGTCACCGAAAAGATGGCATTTTTATTACTGAACAGGTGAGTAAGGCATTTTATTGAACAGATATGCAGCTCTCTAACAGAGTTCATTGTAAAGCATTAACTACTGTGAAAGCTCATGTCTTAATGGGTTGAGCTGTGCTGAAATTTGTTTTCAAAGTACCATTTCAGAGCCAAAGCACAACCAAAACAATGTTCTTCCACAAAATGCATGCAGTTTTGTTTTTAAACTGCTAGATGTCCAAAAATTACATTTTAACTAAAAAAACTGAGGTTCACGGAGGGTTTGTAAATCCAGAGGAGAGTTTTCAGGAAGTCAATAATTTTTTTTTTTTTTTGTGGGGCTGGGGCATAATGAAAAAGTGGTATAAGTGTACTGAGATTGTGATTAAGTGATTTCAGTTTTAAAATATTATTTGAATTAATGTATCCAAAAGATTGGTCTTCCTTTATTCTTATTTGTCCATGACCCAACCACATTGTACCGTTTTTGTCCTTTTGATTGTTCTAGCATGACTAAAGCTTTTTGTGTAGCCTGGACCTCCCACTGTAACAGTGGCTAGTGTTTCCTTGTAAGGGGGCCACACTAAATTCATAATGCATGAGTTGAACAGTTTAGAAGTGGTAGGTGAGGGGTCAGTGAAGCAGAGGAGGACTGGGTTGAGGTGAGGGGCCTATTCATTGTTGGCCAATTACTGACTGAAGGGGCCCAGGTCAGAGCTCTAAAAGCTTCATCATGGATGAATGTGTCCTGGGGGGGATAACAGGGGTTTACAGTGGACAGGAAGAACTTTATTGATTCATGAATGCTGACTCATCTCAGTTGTCAGGAATAAGACTGTCTGGTCTTTACTAAAAAAAATAAGTCTGGTCTTGTAATCAATAACCCTTTTACTATGATGAAAATTGACAAGGCTGCTAGTCACAATTGATTTGGTCAATAGTTTTCACGGCTATTTAAATGATCAGGAGTGGGAGATATGTCCAAAATCTTATAGTGATTTAAGTATAGTTCTGGAAATAATAAAAATTTTAGATACCGGATGTACTGTAAGTAAAAAAACTCCTCAAACATACACTGAAGACAAGTCAGAAATCCAATAAAAAAAACTAATTACAAACAATATGACAAATACAATAAAAAATATGATTCTTAAAAAATCTTATTCAAGCTATAAAACAGTGGGTGACTTTCTCTTTATCTTTTGTAGCTATATATCTACGGCAGTATATATATTAGGCTGCTGTCACTTTAAGACCTAACACATGGATCCAATATACTGACACACATCTGACCTTTTAGTAACACACCCGAAGTCCAAGGTAAACTTCGCTTGTTCGTGTTTCGCTCCGTCTCGAAGCGCACACACTGAAACTCACCTGGGGAAGAGTTTGAGTTTTCTTTCGCAGCTTAAGGCCTGTTCACACCAAGAACGACAACTATGAAGATAACCATATTCATAACTATATTAGCATCCACATCTATGCACGATAAAGTATTGTTCAAAATCTTTTTGAAAGTGATTCCAACGATATCGTTCCTCTGTGCCGTTAACGTTATTGCTCTTGGTGTGAACGGGCCTTTAATATGCTCTTAATAACTCTATAATATCAAGCATGTCATGCAGTAGACTGCAGTTTACGGCAGACTGATTTGGACATTAAGTTTGGGCTTTTAAGGAGGGGCAAAAAGAGATGTAAAGGAATTGGTCTCTCAATTATAATGTTTCAGTATTGTTGGAAGGCAAATTTGAAAGAAGAAATTCGATTAATCGCACAGCCCTAAAGTGAAGTTTAGCATGATAAAGGAGAAGAGGGACAGGACAACACAGGTGGCGTGAGACAGCGGCAGGAAGGATTAGGTGGCAGCGCTGACTCATATGCATATGGGGGGATTACTAGAAGGGCATAATGAATGGACGTTTAAGTCTGGAGCCCTTACGGGAAACAAAAAAGAAAGCTTTGTGGCCTTCCGCCTTCTACTATGTGAGCTGAAACCTCATTATGTGAGGCCTTTGACCTTTTCTGGTTAACTTTCCGGGTTTTGTGTGAGGGAAGGATGTTACATTAATCCTGCAACTTTCAAAAGAACAACCCAACCGTGAGAGACACGGGAACCCTTGGCCTCAAAAGTCATCTCGTGTCTGAGACAGTCTAAGTGATGTCTCATGAAGCCGGATGGTCATGTGACGGGTCTTTTGGAGGTCTTGCCAGCTTCCTGTTACTACATATTTTGTGTTTCCTACAGACCTACTCTCTCGCCGATTGACTCTGATGGCTTGGGAGCTTTTTCGGGGACCAAAAACCCTTGATTAATCGCTTTCAATGGATGCACAACAAAATGTCTATGCAAACATACCTTGGTTTTATCGTCCACTACTCTCAGGCCATCGGCAGACACCCAAAGAACAGCCTTGACAGTTTTTTTCCCACTCTGAAAAGAAATATTGAAACAACATCAGCCTTTTGACACAACTGGACATTAGCACTACTGCAGAGGTTTTGATTTGCTGTGCATCATGCATTCTAGCACAATTATATTTGACCATGATATATTTCCATGACACTTTTAGCTTTTGTCAGCTCAATATTTCCTACAGTGCATTAGAGAGTTACCTGACAACATGCTGACCTGCGATACATGTGAGTTCCAGGAACAAGCCCCATTAAGGCCAGATACAACTTGGCAAATAAGAACATTTATGTAAGGGCAATATTATTAAAAAATATAATTAAACAAAAAATAAAACTCTTTACTTTTTCAAATAAATGCTCTCATTTTGAAAATATTAAGAAAAAACATTGAGCAGCTCAACCCACACTTTTTAACAGGATTGCATACTGTTTGTATACCTTTGTATATTCCTTTGTATGTTAGTTACTCGCAATGCGATCTTCCTATTTGAGGTCTTTGGCCCTGAGGTACAAAGGCCGAACTCATCACATGTAGACTGAAAATACACATCTAGTACGCAATGAGGACAGGTTCAGTAGACTGCAAGAGCATCTCTCTAGGTTTTGGAACAGGCTTTAAATCTTTCACTGAATCTGCTGTAAGCACATGTCTGCGTGCAAGAGTGAATTGGACAAAGTGAAACGCATTTAATCTGGAAAATCTGTAGGAATAAGTAAAAGTGAAGAATGCAGCTAAATCAAGAAAAACTGAGGGAATCCAAATGTCGTTCCAAGCAGCTCAAAAGTTACTGTCCAGTAGAACACTGAGGAAATTACACTGGAGACCAGAAAAATAAGGAACAAGCACAGGCACAGAGTAGAATGAGATAAAGGCTTTTGGAAAGAAGAGAAAATAAATGAAGTGACTGTGTAGACAGACACAGCGGGAACTATCAACATGGGGATGAAGGGGCAGAGCGTATATGAACAGATGGAGTGGCCCCAAAGACAAGGACCACACACAGTCTGTGTCATACAAACTGCACTTGTGGGTGAAAAGGTCTTTGCATAAAAATGAAACAGTTGTTTTACAAACAAACATACATTATAAATACATATACAGTATTGGAGCTCTGTTCTGACAATTCAGGAAAGAGCTGACAGGGCAGCAATACTGAAGACAATAGCCTATTGACAATAGACAATAACAGAGACAATAACAGAGCATCTCCGATCTATAAAGATTGATTTTTTAAAATAAATGAGACTCTGATACTGGGAGGACTGAGGATTTAATGCACTGGGAGTCTATAAAAAGCCTTTTGAACACAATGTGGAAATTTTAATAACTTTTCGAAATGAATTCGCTTTTTACTTGGTGAGCAACTGGCCTGGACATGATCTAGAAAAGACTGTCCCAAAAAGATTGGAATAATAATAAACAAATCTATTGTTACGCATTAATCAATTTGGCCAACAGAAACACTGGCCACTTTATATAGAATTTGTACACTTTTCGATGAGTTAATTTTAGACTTCTTCATTGATTATTATTAATAGATACATTCACAATAGAAATGTATATTATTCTACAAAACAAATATTACAGTTTCAATAAACTTAATAAATTAGTAATTTCCTGATATGTTCAACTTCCCTCAATAGCATTATAATATAATATAATATACTCACATATCACATTATAATATATCACATTTTTCCTATTCTGGGTGACTGTACAAATGAGCTGCCAGTTTGCTTTTTATAGCAAGTGTATGTTGTTTTATTCAGTGAGAATGGAAAGCATTACTGTCCTCACCAGTTTCAGTTTTTTCACTGCATCTTCGCACACATGCATCCCTCTGGACTCCTCTACCTCCACCAGACCGAGGTACTGCGGAAACAGAGAAAAATATAGAGAAAAGTCAGAGAGAGAGAGAGAGAGAGATGAATTTTTTCTTCCACAACCCCATTAATTCTCTAAATGAAACAGCATGCGTTGTGAAAATAAAACCACTGCTTTGTCATTTTTGGTGAGGTTATGCAAGAAAAACAGACAGGAACACAAATTTACTCAACCTCTTCAGGGAAAACTACTTCTGTCCAAACAGGGCTAGTGTAGATTTCAATGAGGAAACCGTTGAAAACACAGCAGAGGATGTATTTGTAGAACTCTAAAGTGATACACTTTGTCCAGCCTAAACCAATCAAAATGTCCTCACACAGGCACAATTAATAGTCATCTAGCCAGGGTTATGTGATTACGGTGGCCATGAGGACAGAGGCCATTACAAGATTACATCTCAGTCTCACAGAGATTCCTGATGCCTCAGGATGGAGAGTAAAATTAGGCTGAATTTAATTATACAAGATCCACTGCAATATATTCTCCACTTTACTTAATGATACAGACCCTCTTTAGTCTTGAAAAAGCAACTTAGGATTTCAAAATAGGATTGTCAAATGACTTTAATCAAAATAATAACATAATATGCTGATTAATCAATTACATTAATCACATATATCAGTACTTAGTGAGAAAAGCCATATGAATTATAAAAAATGGATTTACTTATTTGTTTTACTTTAATATAAATACTAGCCACATTCAGGAATTCTGTTACATCTCACAATAGATTTTCACACTGAAATAGGGTTGTGAATTATCATATTCACATAATTACACATTTAATGGATTTTTAATGAATGAATGGTAGTGTACTCTATTCCAGCCATGAGCTTGGTGTTTTTGTGTGGGGGTTTGATTGGTCAAGTCTGTTTTTGTTCAAAGATCTATAGCCTTTGGCCCTCAGCCAGACACTGTTAGGGTGTTGCTGACTTTCAAACATTTAAAAAGTCAATCTATAACTGGACATTCCTATTATACCTGTTTTCGTTTCCCCTCTTGCCCTAGTATTGCTTTTGAATAACAGCGCCTTAGCGTGAGATTTATTCAATTTATAGTCTAAGCCATAATATGAGTGATAATGCTTAAATAAGCATGTCTGGAACATCATAAACAGATATGTGTTGGCAGAGCCTGGGTTAGTTTGAATTCAAATGAAACTGACACTATTTACTCTCTTTATAAACATTCCTAGTCTTTTTGTGCACTCTAAGAGCTCATTTGCATTTATAGGGCCAGACACAAAACCGTGCATTTTTGCAAACCCTCAAAAAGTTACAACTTTAATATGCTATATAAAAGTATCTGTGGGGTATTTTGAACTAAAACTTCACCTACACACTCTGGGGACATCAGAGATTTATTTTACATCTTGTGAAAAGGGAATTATACCAACGCTTTAAAGGGGTGATGTACTGAGAAATCAAATCATAACGTCATAAGTTGACCTCAGACAACAATAAAAATAAACAGTTCATGACCCCTTTAATGTTTAAAGAACATTTAATGCCAAAATGTTGGTTTTTTTTTTAAAGGATAGAAGTGATTGCATAATATTTTCAGAGATAAAGTATGTTTAAGAGGTGCACACTTCATCAAATTTAATTTAAAAAAAAATAAAATAAAAACAAAATGAAATAATTAAACTAAATTCAAGAAATGATGGGAACCCCAATAAAATGTTTATGAAGTGCTTGACAGAACTAACAGTTAATGCATTAACTAACATGAACTTACCATGAGCAACATATTGTAACTGTATTTGTTAATCTTTGTTAAAGTTAGTTAATAAAAATACAGCTGTATATTGTTTGCTCATGTTACTTCATAGTGCATTAACTAATGTTAACGAATGCAATTTTTGATTTTAATAATGTATAAGTAAATGTTGAAATTAACATTAACAAAGATTAATAAATGCTGTAGGATTGCAGTTCATTATTGGCACATGTTAACTAGTTAACTAACAAATGAAACCTTATTGTAAATTAACAAAGACAAACCAGTTCACTTACCCGGACAGGAAAGTTGCATTTGCCCTTCCGTACAGCCTCTTCATCTGCTTGCCATTGGTGTGGCCGGCTGGCTTCCGGCACGTAGGTGGGCTTCTTCCTGCGCAGGCTCTGACGCAGCTTATTCATCTCCACGCTCTCAAACTCTCTGTTGCTGAGCACAAGAAAGAAGAGCACAAAATAGCCTTTACTTCACCTGAGCTTCCAAGTCCAACTGTTGAGTCAGAACACACACTAGCTGGGTGTCAACTGAATGTTGACATATCATAGAGATGCCAATGTTTCCAGTCATGCAGGATATTCAGGATGTAATCACTCTGATTTGGATCTCAAAAAAAAAAATGCCACCAACATTATTTTCAGATTTCTTGATATTTTTCACTGAATTAAAATGGATTAAACGGAAATTGCAGAGAATGTTTTCACCTCGGACTTAAAAAACAATTACTTTGCCCTCAAGAGGGCTATTATTTATGTAACATAATTAGGTCATTCATTCTACCCTTATTTGCATTGGTAATTTCAAATTCTGATGCACAACACACAACAAAGCCAGGCCGCTCTGAAGAATGAATATATTTGAAGCTGTTTAGTCCAAGTTACGCATGTGCGTCAATACAAATTCCATTAAAGGGGTGATGAACTGAGAAATCAAATTTTCCTTGAGCTTTTGATATCTAAGAGGTTATCATATTATGAGAATATCCTGTAAGTTTCAGAACTGAAAACGCCCTTGTTAGTCCAATAAAATCTTTTATTTACACCAGCCTCTGAAAACGTCTCGTTTTGAAAAGTGGGAAACTATGACGTCGAAGGGGTTAAAACACCACCCCCGCAGAAGAAGATCAACGCCCACTTCAACACGGCCGGTTTAGCCCCGCCCACCGATTCGCGCATTACACGCATAGCTAAGTAGCCTAACATACATGCCTACCTCGTGATGACAAACCGGATCGATCTAACGAGCAATACAGAATATTGTGTGCAGTGCCTGGTTGTGGAAGTAGACAGTTGCTGCATAAGCTTTCTCTGGATTCCAGTAGGACTTCATGGATCAACTTTATTTTTAATGACGTTCCAGCTGATGAGGTAAAACATCGTCGTCTGTTCATCGCGTCGTCTGTTCACTGAGGATTGTTTTGTAAACAAGACTGTATTTGCAGACCGATTAAGAGTAAAGAACGTGCTGTGCCGTCTATATTGGATCTGACAGGAATTGTGCAACACACGGACTCTTGGTTGAACATGTATGGGCGAATCCGGTTGCCATTTGACAACATTGGACGTTTCCCCCCACATAGGAACGGGTGAGTGAAACTCATGATTATAATATGCAAAACTGTTATCCACTCACAGCATTGGGCGTTTATTTCCAAGTCTTCAGTGCGACACGCCCATAAAAACCGACCGTTTTTCAGGAAGGCTCACAACTTGGGTACAAAATAGCCTATTACTTATTCATTTTGACAGTTTTTGAATGCAAAAACCAAGCGAACGTCTTAAGTTGACCTCAGACAACAATATAATAACATTTTAAAAGCCAGTTCATGACCCCTTCAAGGAGAATTCACCTCAATTAATAAAATAGTTATCATTCTAATAGTTGAATACTGTAGGTATGCATTTTGCCAAATATCTTTTCCACAAAAGAAAATAAATCATGGTTTGTATTGACATTAGGCTGAATCAATGGGAAAAAATGTATTCTTTCAAATCCCTCTTACAATTCAACTTTACTAAAATCTCATACTATAAAATGAATTATTATTACCATCTTTTCACACGGTTCGGCATATCTTCTCCTTTAAAAGCTGTACACTTCCCACAGACTGTTGTACTGCGTTCTTCACACACGCCACACAACCACTTTTGCTTTTATAGCATCACGTCAGAGGCCAAAGGCTCACATTTCCCAAAGCCATGAAGTGTTACGGGTAACAGATGGCAGACATGGATTGGCGGAAGTACCACTATGTACGCCTGGCCCGAATCCTAAATGCCACGTAACACACCCACATATTCAAAGGAACACATGATTATATATGAGTGTGTTTTTTTTTAATAGCCCTGGCGTCTAAGTCTCCGGAGGCTTTACTCAGCTCTCGCTCTGGCACGCGCCTGTTGCTGAGCTTGACAGATCAGATCGGGGTCAGACACAGGATTCGCAGGACTGGCACCTGCCGTTCGTCCGGGTAGTGAGGCGGGAACGGGCAGCTGAATAAAGCGTATGGCATTTTTAATGAGGCAGCCGGACATTACAGTAACACCAGTACATTCCCAACAGGATGGTCTAGATGTTCTTGATCAAGATCAGTGAATGCTTTTGCAGGAGCTTCCGAGATTCTGCTAAACTTTCGGGATTGATCTAATGGCTGAAAGGCAGCCAAAGCTGCAGAACAGCAGAGAGGGAGGAGAAGACATTCGCAGATAGAGAACAGGCCAAAAGCCAATGAGAGAAAGAGAAGAGACTTTATAAGGAGAAGAAAGAAGGAGCTTGAGATGTAGAAGGGGAGGGAGACAAGTGCTAAACACCCTCATTGAAACTTATTGAGGTCACAGTTTTAATGTGTGTCGCTCACACTGTGGAGCCAGTCATAAACGTCCTAACTGATGCAGGACCAGCGTCAAAACGAGACATTTTTTAAATCAGTTGCATGACATTGAGTTGTCTATTTGGTATTAGGCTGGTTTGAGGCTCACCTGACACCTGAGAGGTGCTTACAATAGATGTATTAATGTCCAAAAATAGCTGGATGGACTGTAACGGGGTCTCGAGACATGCATTTAAAAAAAGTTGGACCATTTTAAAACAGCATAAAATGTGATACAACAACCAAATATGTTTGTAGTAAGAAACAGGGAGACCCCGATATTAAAATTCTGGCAAATAGAGAATAATTTTTGTATTATGGCCAATAACCAGTCAGTGTAAGTTTATTATTATTTACAGTATAAATACTACTATTTACCATAATAGTAAATTATTATTATTTTGAATTAGCTTTTTTATATTTCTTTTTATTTAATAATTTTGTAATGTGCTTTTGCCATTTGTATAATTTTATAAAGTGTTTATTTATAGCTTTAATTTGTTTTTATTTCAGTTTTTAGTGATTTTAGTACTTCAGCCTTAACTTATTTCAGTTAGTGGCCAACGTAGCATTTTTATTTTTTGTTCAGATGTCAAAGTTTTACTAATACTAATATCATTATTATTTCACTGTTTCAATTAGTTAACGATAACAACACGAAAATTCTTTACTCTTTTGTAAATACAAAAATCAAATCAATCCTTTGAAATAAGTGAATTTAGGTATCAGTCAGATTATAACATGTTACAATATGTACATTATGTATGGTATAGATATTCCCTCATGAAATGTAAAGATTTAACAGCATTTTTAAAGATTAACTTTAAGTGAGCATTTTGTTGATTACAAATTTGATCTAAATGTAATAATACAGAAAATGACAATGCACAAGTAAAAAGTTCAATATCGACCAATGCGGTACTAATCTTTAGTGTGTGTATGATTGACTGTTTACTTGAATAATAACTACTTAAAAAAACCTTAAGCAATGAATTTGTTTAAATGAAAATTCATTTAAATTTCTTAATGTTTATTATGTGAATATGTACATTTCAATTTAAAAAAAACAGTTCAGTAACATAGTAGTTTCTGCTGTTGTATCGGAAAATTCCACCAGATTTGGTATCGCCAACTTAATGGTGTCCTGACACTCATTAACACATACAGCAAAGAAAACAATTTGTTCTCGAGAGTTTCTTATGAGACCCGCCAGGGAAATTTCCAAAACATGCATGTGAAAGTCACACAACAGCCATAAGAGCAATCCAAGCCATTCCATGGAAATGATTTCATCACCAAATGAAAACCAGCTGGAGCAACATGGGTAGAGTGAACCAAGAAGACTAAACCAAACAACACTCAAGACTTACACAAAACATTTAGAAGAACACTTCTGTGTCTGTCTGATGGACCAATCATCTACCACATCAGATCCAAGGCTACATATAAGAAAAATGATACATTTATATAACGGATAATCTTGGCTTCTCTGTAAAGCATATTAACTTATTTATTTAAAAAAAATCATAACATACTCATAGCAAAATCACACTGAAATACTTTTAAAGTAACAATAAGAACATTTTTAAAGATTATATTTCAGAAGACACTGCATGAGTTGAATCGACCACTTTAATGCTGTATTTTTTATGCTTTCGTGCCCTTTTTGGAACTTGAAGGAGAATGAAAATAGGCAAGTCAAGTCACATTTATTTATATAGCGCTTTTCACAATACAGATTGTATCAAAGCAGCTTCACAGTGATAACATGAAAGTAGTACAACACAGATCAATAATATTGTTAAATATTAAATATTAAATATCCCCAACTAAGCAAGCCAAAAGCAAGGCAACAGTGGCAAGGAACCAAAACTCCATCAGATTGGATGGAGAAAAAAAACCTTGGGAGAACCCAGGCTCAGTCGGGGGCCAGTTCTCCTCTGGCTAACATTCAGAATAATGGATTCTCATATCACAATCATATGTGCCCAATCCTGCTCCTGCCGATCGACTGACCTGCACAGTTCATCTCAAACCCTAATCAAACACACCTGAAGCAACCAATTAAGGTCTTTAGGATCACATTCAGGTGTGTTTGATTAGGGTTGGAGATGAACTGTGCATGACAGTCAATGGACTATGTGCACGTTAGCATATGCTAGTTCCGGCTGCGAAACCGATATGGGGTGTCTAGTTTCCGGTAGCCTGATGGACGACGTAGAGGATGTATGTTTCTAAAGATTTCTTGAACATTTGGCGAATATTACAGTCGATTATGTTCATCGACTGGCTAATGATTTTCCTCCAGCTCCCCAGAGCAAGAGAGAAGGGGTTTAAATATTACATTTCTCAGTATTTGCATCATTTTGAAGGGAACGTTAAGTCACAACAACATCCATGCTCAGACTGATCTCATGAAATTGCGTATGTATGACACGTATCACGTATTTTTGGCATGCTATCAACACGCATAATCTCTTTTCAGCGTGTTTATGAATACCGTTGACTTAACGTTATTATTGTATATATATATATATATATATATATATATATATATATATAG